AATAATAATAATAACAGTAGTAATCATAATAATAACAATGATAATAACAATAATAGCAGTAGTAGTAATAATAATAATAGTAACAATAATAGCATGTAAATTAACAATTTATACTGATGTAAATCTATTAAAAGATATAATAATAATAATAATAATAATAATAATAATAATAATAATAATAATATTTATTAATAATAATAATAATAATAATAATAATAATAATAATAATAATAATAATAATAATACAGACAGGATTTTTCATTTGAGATAGGATTATGTTACATTTGGCAATTCTGTGCATTTTAATTATTTTCTCTTCTCTATCTCTGATCGTGTCTGTTATTTATTTTAAGAAAGAAAAATGTAAATCACTACACCGCATCAAATACTATTAAATATCGTAAAATGGAGTTAAAATGGAGTTAAAATCTATTTAACTTTTGTTTAAAATAAAGCGACCGTTTTGAACACCAGACTCCGCTGTGAATATTTGCCTAATTTCAAATAGAATAAAGCAGCTTATTTTATAATAAAATTTATCAAATGTTATTTATTTATTTATTATTATTATTTATTTTTTATTTTTTTCAATAAATGAGGGAAGCTCGGTGAATGTGAAGGAACGTCCATCTGCGGCCTCAGGCTTTAGGCTGATTCTCTGTGCAGGAGAATGCTTTATTTATTATTGCTTTATTTATTAGGCCTATTGCTTTATTTATTATTTCGTAGCCTATTATCTGTTTCTCTGAAGAAGAACAATTATTCTTTCTGCTTTGAAATCAAACGTTTAACCAACATCAGATTTTTTCTTTTCCATTTTACCTCCCCTAAGTTTTTATTATGATTATTTCAGAAATAATCAGAAAGCCAAAGACATGGAAAAGACTTTGAATCATATCTTAATGTAATACAGAAATAAATCACTTTTCAGTCACCCTCTATTATTTTAGTCCTTTGTTCATAAAAGCGCGGTATTCCTCAGAGAGACAGGGAGGGAGGGAGGGAGGGATGGGTCCAGTCCAGGATGTGTTTACATCTCTAACCCTGGAACCAGATTAAACCCACACCTAAAGGCTATCTGCCCAGGACTATTATTCCATCGTGTCAAAAAATAAGCCTGTTGTTTTTGTAACAGGGTCAATAACCGCAATGTATTTCATAAGGGAAGAAAAATTAAAAGAATTTAACTTCCATAAACGTAGAGATTGAAAGCCTCTTAATCGTTTTCCTTTTTTTCTAGCCTATAAGTCTAGGGACTGATAAAAACAACATAATGGAAAGATAAAAAAAACATCCATTAATTCAAACTGTGCGTCCTTATATGAACTCCCCCTTAAGCCCAACCAACTGCCTTATTTATCCAACTATTAACATATCAAGGTAGATAATAATAATAATCGGTCCCATAATTGTAAATAAACAGCAGGACAGCTGATAACCAACATGTTTGATGATAGTTTGTGTTTTACAGTGAGACGTGAGGAGGACGTGGCATCGTTCTAACCAAACTCCAGCCTCCTGCTTATTCCTGCAGCCTCTGGGAGGGAGAAACGCGCCCTGGCTTCCATTACGCTCCACACGGACACCCAACAGGAAATAATTATGCTGCTCTGGTCTGCTCCGTGCAGCATTGTTTGTTTGGACGCATACTGTCTGTGCAGCAGTGGTCTGATGCAGCAGGCTGGGCTGCAGGAAGATGAGCTGGAGATGAGTGTTGCTCTGATGAAGCCCGCAGACCGGCCGCTTCGCTCTGTCACACACTTTACAGAAAAAAGGAACAGGCTTCCTTTGTTCTGTAATCTATTGTATTGTGTTTGTCTCATTCAGCTCAGCTGATGTTGAACATTACTTGGACACTTTAAGGGGCGCCACGCACCAAGTCCACCTGCGCGTCCACGCTCAGCTACTTTAGCCGTAGGTTTAGCTGAGCGTGGACGCGCAGATGGACTTGGTGCATGGCGCTCCTTAAAGTGTCCAACTAATGTTCAACATCAGCTGAGCTGAATGAGACAAACACGATGAAACTGTGAGGATCAGAAATGCTGCTCTTATAAAAGTAGGTTATAATGGCTGAACCTGGCCTCCATTGGCTCCATGAAGTCTGAGAAAGGCCACCGATTCACCCCCCCAACACACACACACTGCCTTAATACATACCACACATTTCCACATTTTGTCCTGATACAGAAAACATGGACGACATGGGCTTTATTGTATTTTATTTCTCTCATATGGTCTATTTCTTTTTATTTGCGATTTTCTTCACTTCCTGATATTTACATGGCATAAGATGTAGTGTTTGTTTTTTTCTATGCAACCTTAGTTTTAATCTGTTGCACTATTTTTTTCCCTGTGTTAAAACAATTTATGAATGTGACGATACACTAATTTCTAATTTAATTATATTTTCAAGGAACTGCAAACAAAAAATAAAAAAAGCAATGAATGAATTTTTAATATAGGGGAAAATACTTTTTTGCAGTTATTGCACGATGCTGTATATATAGATAGATTTTCATCTATCTATCTGTCTATATATTTATATATAATACAGTTTATCCTAAATAAACGTATATATATATATAATGTATTTTCATATATGTATAGATAGATAGATATATGAAAATATATCTATCTATCTATATATATTATATACATAGATCTATATATATAGATATATATATAAATATATGAAATAACCCGTAGAATCACAGAAAAAGGAAATAGCCTACATGCCCTAATTTTAGAAGTTCATAAATTATTAATTTGATATTTTGTTGGAAAGTACTTAAAAATATTAAAATGCGTACA